ACGCAGCTGAATGGTGCGCTTAACGTAATCCTCGACGCGCTCATCGTTACCCTTCTTGAGGCTGCGTATTTGTGCGTCGTAGAGTAGCTGGTGCCCTTTCTGATTCTCGCTGTGGATCTTCTTCAGATATGCCCATCCAGCAGCTGATGTCGCGCACTGATCAATCTCCTGAAGGAACTTGTCGCCGACCATCATGATCAGCGCGGCCTTCGCCATTAAACCTTTCTCGACAGAGGTAATAGGAGCAGAGTTGACTACATCCCAATAACCATCCAGAATCAGGGCATTTCTTGCCCTCGGCTCCCATTGCGGGTAGTCGGCGATCGACTCCAACTTCGGGACCCGCTTCGATTGTTCGGCCATTTCGCAAATCCGGCTGTATGTAGCCTCCCTGCCTGCAGCCAGGCTCAAATGTACCAGAGCCGCTCTTATCCTGAGACTGCAATCCCGCAGTTGGCTGGTTCCGGCAGACCGCGACACTATCCTTGCGCGGGGCTCATAACCTGAAAACTAAGCAGCGAATACAGAGCGATCACCTCGTTATACGTTACATAGGTCTGGGATTAGAGCGAGGATAAAAGGCAAGACCCTGCCATAAATACAAAGTGTATCTCGGAAATCCGCTCCAGAACCAGTACAGGTATCCCGCCAAACTACGATATGCAGGAGTTCTGGACGAGATATCAACACAGTCACATCAAGCGATGGCCAAGGCATTGAAAGAGCACCGTTTTGACGACGCTTTGGAAAACGCTCGGACAGGTGTGCTCAGGCCCCATAGGAATTCGTGCACGGCATTTGCATTTAGCATTTGTAACAACCTGCCTGCAGCCATGGCTCTCGAACCAAATAACGTGATGATCAAGGAATTCGTGCGACTCTTGGAGGAAAAGCAAGCACTAGGTGCGGGGGGTTACAAGGGCTCAACCGCCTGTACGGAGACAATGTTGTTGGAGGATATTTAGCGCCCTGACATCCTGGCCCGCAGCTGAAACGGATGACGACAGTGATACAGAAGGTGCGACCACAGCACCTGCCGGAACGGCCGCTTCAGACGAAGAGAGCGAAGATGAGGACGAGGACGGAACGGACGAGGGGGAGACGGATGGGGAGGGGAGTGAAGAGAGCGAGGAAAGCGAGGAGGATGACCCGGAGGTGAGGTTCTGGCGTCGTTGCACCGCACCATCACGGTCCCGTTGGGTGATGACCTGTATGTGCGTGCGCGGAGGATTGCCCGCATAGGGCACCCTTGTGGCACCATTCCAGCCTTCCACTCTTTCCGCTCACCAATGGAAGTGTTCATATGGCTTCTTGTACATAGAGACATGTAGGCACCAATGCTTGCGATGCCTTTGCATTCTTTTCTCATCGGAGGAAACGATTTTGCACCTATAACCCGCACCCCTCTTCGCGCCTGCCTTTTCCACCACTTGTATGTGCTTCTTTGCCTTCTCGCTTTCCATGGTAAGGTGCTGAACGCGCTAGAACGCCTGCGATTAGCTGGGCCAGCCGACATTGGCAAGCCTGGGCCTCGGCAGATTACGCCCGCTAAGCGCTACGCCATGCGTGCGTCTCTCCGCGCCAGTATCAAGGAGCTGCTTTTGGCGGAGTTAGCCAAGGAGATGGCATTGGAGGACCCACTGCTGCGGAAGTGACAGCTGTCCTGACCTGACTTATTGTGTGTCCCGCGGCCATAGTCATTGTCACGCTTTGAGCGCATGAGAAGTGAGCAGGCATAGGCGGCCTTAGTGCTTAGCCTCCGGGTTCGGTGGGCCGCGGAACGAAACTTTTATCCAGTTCTGCTACACAAAAGAGGTTGGAATAGCGCAAGCGGTTATCGCGATTTGGGGGCCTCCAGATGAGGGGGCCAAGCCTAGGATTCAAAAAGGGTCCTGACAGCGTGGCTTTCACTTGATTTCACAGTGCAGCTTAGTAGTGGTGGTGGGAAGATGGCATGGGATGGGGCCAAGCTGTAGCAGGTTGAAAGTGCTGCTCCTGCAGGAAGCTCCGGACGGGAGTTGCGATCGCAGCCATCTGGAGTGCGTGGCTAAGGGTTATGGGAGGAGTGCGGAGGCTGTTCCCATGGTTCCACGCTACTTGAACGATGGCTGTTGCACGTGGGGCAAAGTAGATTGTTTAAGATCAGCAAATAACCTGAAAGCTCACGGACTGTGGAGATTGATGGGGCCCCATTTCGCCAATGGGGTCGTGTTCGAGGGTTGAAGCAGAAGCTATGATGCTCTGCATTGGGCCCAAACATCCTGCTATCATTCAACCAAGATTTTTGCTGTCGACAGTCACGAGCAGGCCATTTTAAACTCCACGGGAAGGTTTGCCCTATTGTACGTTCCTGCACCCTTGCGCACGTGCCGGAAGAAGCCGGTTGGCACCATAAGGACAGGCTTGCAGCAAGCTGATAGTAGGATCGCGCGAGTCACAAGAGGACGACGCAAGGGGACGCAATAGGTCATGCGCAAAATGATCAGGCGTTAAGGGAGAAAAGGCAAGGGGATAAGGGGAAAGGATATATACGTGTTGGACATATTGGACTACTCGTGCTGCCCCGGAAACTCCACGCCTGGGGTGGTAGAGCCCGTCGCCACGCGGAGGAGATGGGACGAAGCGCACACATAGCCACCACTGGTGTGGGCGGACGTCGATTTCCTGATCCGATGAACAGCAAACCTTCAGCGTCGCGCCTAAACCTCGGGGATGTTCGAAGCCTGTTTGAAGGATAGCGCAGTCCAGCTGCAGATTTTATTCATGAGGCAGATAGTGGGGACGGCACGGCCATCCCACAGGCTGTTGTATGCGGAGCTGGCTGAACTCCCCTTACAATATTACATGGTGAAACAGATCCTCCGTTTCTGGAACCGCCTTCAAAAGCAAGTGGGGGGTCCATTTCTCATGCAGTTTTACGGCAGGAGATAACCGATGCCCCGACCAGCCCGGAATGGGAGGGTTGGGGAATCTCAATGTTACGACTGTTTTCCTTCTTGGAGTGCAATATTTGGAGCGGAATACCACAAGAAGTCGTGGGGGTAAAGGAGCGTGTTGACTAGTTGTTGAGTAGACCTCTACCCGAAGGAGCAATGATAACGGCACTAAGAGAGCGTTTGATTAGCGGCTCGGATCATACGCGTCTGACTGTCTTGCCAGAGGAGTACCCATCAGATGGGAAGCAACCGGGAGTGCAAATGGCGAAGTATAAGCACTGGATGGGGCTGCCCTTTTCGGGAGCCGCAGCCGTCATGTGGCCAACACATGCCAAAGTTTTCATTTCTCGTTTAGCACATCGTAAGCTAATGCAGTTTCGTTTATGTTGCTGGGCTTTGGAGGCAAACAGAGTACGAAGGGGCAAGTACCATGTCCCCAGGGGGCAGCGGTTTTGCCGCTGTTGTGGTACTAATAGCCGAATCGAGGATGAAAAACACATGTTATTGGAATGCCCAGCCTATAATGATATTCGTGCTGAAGAGGGATTCGATCATCAACAGAGCATGTTGGAGGCCATGAAATGGGAACCCGCACGTCTTGCGAGGATGTTGAAACGTATGTGGGCTCACCGAAACTCAATTATCCCCTTTGGACGCTAGTCTGGGCTGATGTGCGGAGTTTTCCTTTCCTCCGTGGCTTTTAGGCGTTGTAGTATTGCCCTTGGGCCTTCGGCTCGTATGGGTAGTCTTAGGTATGGGGTCACGCACCCCCAACCATGTAACACACACACACACACATATAGCGGGGGGGAAAGGGATAAGTGATCCCAGGAGCCAAGGCTCTTGATGGCATCCGTACAATATCACCATCATCCGTCTACAATGTCTTGGCACCACTGGAAACTAGGAGGTGGCCAAGCATCACTTCTCCAATTTGCCATGTCAACGCCTCAACTGCCCGGGTTAGAGTGTCCTTTTAGTCCGTGTTCCTGGCAATACTTCGTGCATGGATGCACAAATATGTTTGCTATATTGCGAAGACAGGACGTCTAATACCTGAGCTGCTTGAGGAAAAAGTTGTGTGATTTTGCAATAGAGGTTGCACATTTGGGATGAGAATTGCATAATCGGAAGAGACAACAAGGCCATACATGTCTGGGGGCTCAACTAAAAGAACGGCCGCCTCTACCGTACGGCCGGTAGTGTGGCTGAAAACCACTTCGCTTTGTCTGCGATGGAATAGCTCTTCCACATTAGGCCAGACAGGTGGTGACAAGCTAAGCGATAGCGGCAGGCTAATAGATACTGCAAAGGAACGCAAGACCAAAAATGCAGACGCTTTCAGCCCACCGCGTTGCGGTACGTGTTGTCCGCTTCCTATGACGAGTTACTCAAACATAACAAACTGATTCCGTCATTGTATGCAGGGCGGCCGCCCGTTCACGGCTGTGCGGCCGCTTCCTGCAGCTAGGCCAATGCAGGTGCGGTCGCTGACCAGACTGCAATTGATTTTAGCCAGAATCCTCGCATGGGCTTACTGATGTCAGAATTGTCTCACGGCTACGGACCTATGAGCGCAGGTGGCTGCGCCTCGCCGCGCTCCCCTTCACATCATGAACCTCCGTATCAACAACGTGGAGATTCCTAACAGCAAACGTATTGAGGTCTCCCTTCAATACATTTATGGGATCGGCCAGACTACGGCTCAGACTATCCTGCGCGACACGGTGCGAGTATATGCCGCCGAGGGGCCCTGTCGCTCCTTTTCTTATTGTATTTACACCATGACAGGGCGTTGAGAACAAGAAGACCTATGAGCTGAACGAGGAGGAGGTCAATAAGCTGCGCCAGGAGGTGGACAAGTATACCACTGAGGCGGATCTGGTACGCGGGTGGGGTGGTTTTGGGGATGGCCGATAGGCCCCTGTCGCCATGACCTGCTCACTCGCTGCTAACAATGTGTCCATTGCGTCTCTCCCACTGTGCAGCGCCGTATTGTGTCTCAAAACATTAAGCGGTTGAAGGACATTGGCTGCTATCGGGGCCGTCGCCATATCATGGTGAGATGGGTAGAATAGCATGGGGGTGTCGATAGCGGCACTGCCAGGAAGCGCGCGGGACGTTTTGCTGCTAGACGTCTGCCTGCTGGGGAACGCTGCCCCATTTGATTGTGCACACATTCAGCCGGGAAGCTACGTTACCATTCCTTGCTGGTGAGGGCAGCTCTGCGTGAATGAATGGGGGGGTTCTTAGCATTAATCCACTCCCTGCAGCATGTGGATGGGATTCTGCGAGATCCGTGGGTGCTGCGAATGGGGTAGCCGCGATTCTGAGAAGGAATAGTTTTTGTTAATTAAAATCCGTTTCCATTCGTAAATCGGCCAGCTCGTCGCCACCTGTTTTGCAGGGCCTGCCAGTTCGCGGCCAGCGGACAAAGACTAATGCCCGCACGCGCAAGGGCAAGGCCAAGACTGTGGCCAACAAGAAGAAGGTGAGCGGGGCATGCGGTATCCTGAAGCTTCCAATGCCAGTCCGGGGAAGTTCGATGCAGTGTCAGTTCACTAGGATTTCTGATTCCAAGATAGGAAACGTACTCTGCCAAGAAAGGAACGGATTGTGGTGTTGAGGCCATTGCTGCGTTATAGGTCTGCGTTATAGGTCCGCGTTATAGGTCCGCCTGCTTTGCGTTTAGTCATACTAACTGAACAACCTACGCTATCGCCTCCAAATTCTCCTAAACCCCAACGTTTTCCCCGTCGTTTATACAGGCTACCAAGTAAATGCCGACGGGCTGTTTGAGACATGGGCGTGTTTCGTCACGGTTTAGGGAAATGTGGTCCCACATGCAAATCGTGCAACATTGTACCTGGCTGAAATGGGCGAAGGATTGGAGAAAAAGCCGAAAGATTGGAGCGGCCAGTTTTTCATTGATAATGGGGATATTTTGCTGGCGACGTGATTTACTGGACAACAGGGAGAAACTGTAACGACTGTGTGACTGTGAATTATAATCCATAATAAACCATGACCAAACAATGCAAACGTCGACATGTTTTACAAGCGCTTAACAACCAGCATGTAGATCACATGTTACACAGCTGATCTTTACACCCTGCCGGATCCGCTTTCATCAGCGTTGAAGTCGATCGTTCACACCGCCCAGCCCCGCGTATGCAAACAAGAACAAGATGAGGAGCGAACGAACGAACTCGTCCTTTACTCGGTTAGCAAGTCATCGATTAAACCGATGTGGGCGAAGTCCTCGAGCCCAGGGCTATCCAACTGCGTTGACGCAGCCATCCGCTGGGAGGGGAAGGGAGAAACGTAACACGTATTCAATAGATTGTAGACATAGCGTACGAACACTAAGGGATAACATCATTGGTCTGGCAAACCCCCCATATACACTTGAATAAGCCGAACAGATCGTTGCACGCCTACAGTGTCTGTCGGCAGATACATATCGACATGTCCCAGTGCCCTGCCACTGTCCAAGGCTTATGGACGGGATCGTTCCCAACAGAAAACCTCACCTTAGCCGACGAGACGGCTGGGGGTGTGTTAAATGCCAGGCTCGCGCGCTGGGCTTGCTGCATCATGATGCGCGCGCTCTGCGCGCTGAACGCCCCATCTGTGGAAGATGCTGTTGCCGCCGCAACCGGATGAGCCATGTGGCGAGCCGCCGCCGCCGCCCTGGCGACTGCAGATGACCCATCCTCCACGCGCTTATGTGCCCCGCTGGCAGCTGTCCCCGCCGCTGCAGCGGCGCTCGGACTAACTGGCAGCATGGGTGCCCCTGGCCCCGGCACCATGTTCGCCGCAGCGGCAGCTGCGGACGTTGGCAACGCATGTCCGCCTGCCCCCGGCTGCCCTGTGGACAGCACGCCGGCTGCAGCGTTCCGGTACGAGGGCAATCCGTCTTGCAAGCTTTGCGCCGCTGCATGCAACACGCCGCCAATGCCGTTCGATGTTGCACCTACCGTGGCCACCGACGCCCCTGCCGATGACGTCTGCATGTACGATGTCGGTTTGCTGCTCGTCGTGGTCAGAGCGGCCGTGCTGCTTGGCCCCGGTGCCGTGTCCACGCCCTGCGGCCGTGGCCGGCCGTTGGCCGTTGCCGTCGTCCCAACAAGGTGATGCTGTGCGAGCGGCACGTACTGCCCTGCGGCTGTTGTTGCAGCAGTACTTGTACCAGTTACTGCTGCCGGTAACGTCGCCGACGTAGAGCGCTGCATCATGACGCCGGGCGCGGCCGCGGCCGCTATGTGCCCGTCGCTAGAAGGTCCTGTCGTCGGCGCCCCAGCAGTAGCACCGACCACCGCCTGCTGCGAGGTGCCAACCGCCTGCGAGTGGATACCTACTGGCGGATCCGGGCCACCATGCACTCCCGACGTTCGCTGCGGTACAGACCCCACGGTGGCCAGTCCCCGTGCCGCCGCAGCCGCAGGAGCTGATCCAGCCCCAACCGCAACCGTGGCACCGGAGACCGTCGGCCCCGTGCTCACTGGCCTTGCCGGCACCGAACCAGGGTGAAGCAACGTTGGCGCGTCATGGCTGGCTGCTAGAGACTGCATGCGGCGCACAGCCGCCGCAGCTGCAGCTGCCGGATTGGAGGGCGATAACGAGCCCTCAGCCCGCTGGCCGTCCTGCCCGTTCGCCAATGCCGGCTCGGCATTGCCTGTGCGGTCCGCAGACCGCCCAGCCCCCCGGTCAGGCGTCAATGCTGCGGCCGCCGTCGGTGCTGAGGGGCTTCCGTCAGCTAGCACCGCCGAATCCCGGGACATTGCACCGCTTGGAGATGGCGCAAGTATTCCCAACCCCGTCGTTGCCGCCCCCACTACACCGTCGACGTTACTGCTGCTGCTCGCCATCGAGCTGACTGGTCGAGCCGTTGCCGTCATAGCAAACTGGCCCACAGGCCCCGCAGCAGGTCCCTCCTTCACCATGTCTGCAATTTCTGTCGGCTGCAACTCTGCCAGCTGCGCCCGCAACGCAAACAGCTCCGCATCCCTCTCCGCTAGCAGCTTTTGCAGCTGCACCACCTGCGCCCGCAATATAATCACCTCCTCTTCGAGCGCCGCCCGACTCTCAGTGTCACTCGCGCCGTCGCTCTCCGTAAGCGACCCCCCCGCTCCGCCCGCGGCACTGCTGGCCGCCCCTGCCTCAACGTCCTCCTCCCCGTCGCCGCTGCTCTCTGCTACCCCAGTTGCCTGGTTGATGGTGCCCACCTCCTCATCGCTGGAGCTCTCACTAGGCGAATCGTCATTGGGGCCAGGCCGCTCCGTCTGGCTGACTTCCACGGCCGCCGCCGCTGCACTCGCCACAGCCGCTGCTGCAATGGTTGACAGAGACGGCAGACTGATGACGCCGCGATCCGGCACTTGCGGTGCCGAAGGCGGTATACTAGAACTCGTCGCCTGGTGATGTACCGTCTGACTCGTCGCTGCCGCAACCGCCTGCTTGCCCTTCGCCTGCTGTGCCACCAGCTGCTGCGCCCGCTTGTCATCACGGCCCTTGTTCTTGCGCCCATGCGGCTGCTGAGCTTGGGCCTGGGCGTCTTCCAACCTGCCAAGTGGACAACACACCATGCATGGCGCAACCCTGTAGGAACGAGGTGATTACGTTTCCGTATGAATCTAAAAGCAGAAGACGAACCTGCCGATCTGCGGTAAGGCAAGGTCCTTGTGCCGGCTGCTTGGTGTAAACGGGGACCAAGAATAGCTGTATCCTCAACACCAGCGTGCGGCTGGCATCCTTCCCCTTAGACTACAAGCCTACCAGGGCGTACCCCAAAACGCACCGCTTCTTCTCCGCCTCCTTCGCCCGGCGTTCTGCCTCCTGCCGCCGCGCCTCGTCTTCTCGCGCTTTCCGCTCGGCCTCCTCCGCCTCGCGCTTAAGCTTCTCCGCCTCCTTCTTTAGCTTAAGCTTTTCCTACGGAGTAGAAGCAGAAATGATAGCAGAATTCAGCGCATGATCCTATGCGCTCCGATACTGGAACCTTGTGAACCTATGTATGACATAATTAGGGGGCGGCGTCAGGACTGTCGTGTCACATGCTTCCGAAATGCTTCACGAACTTGCAGCTGTGCCCCCGAAACCCTTTGCGCCTTCTTTACATGCGCACCTTCTTCTTGGCCTTCTTCTCCTTGTCCGCCTGCGCCTTGGCCTGCGCCTTGCTCTCCTCAAGCCGCGCCATCTCAAACTCCTCAGCGATGAGCTGGTCCTGACGCTTCAGGGCCTCCGCCTCCCGGTAAGCGATCTCCAGCTTTTCGCAGAAAATGTGGGCAATCACAAACATCTCCAAGGTTTTCCGCCCCAACTCCGCTAGTCGCTTCTCGTCGCGCTCAATGGAGTCACGGCGGTAGTCGTCACCCTCCTGGCCGCTACGCAACGTCAGCCCGTCATTGGGCTGAATGGCCTGTACGATAAACCAGTCGGTAACAACAATACAATAATATTTATAGGAAAAAATTACCAGAAGCGGGTTCACGCACGTATTCCGTGTCAGACGGCCAGACGCTTCCAACGAAGTTCGTTCACGAGCACAACACATTACGGGCATCAACAAAACCAACTGCGCGCCACCCCCCTGCGCAAGCACGTCAAGGCGATTTCTGCACGAGTAGGATAGGGTACTCAAGAAGATTACGATGATTCCCTCCCTCCGCACGAAAGCCCGCCCGTATGGTGATTACCTTACTGTCGTCCTTCGGCGCTGGAATGAAGTCCTTCTGCACTCGGTCCACAATGTCCATCAGGTCGCCGCACAATGTGAAGGTGCTGCGCTCCGCCTTTATCAACACCACCGGGGCATTTTCCGTGTACTTGCCCTGCAGGGAAGACACCGCATGCCGAGACGCAGGACGCTCCTTCTACACATCTTTTTTCCGCGTGGCAGCGCATTGAAAGCTCCTTGCAATCACCACGACCCCACTGTCAACCACAACTGCAAGATGACCGCACGAACATAGTCACCCTGTGCTTCCGAACTGAAAAGAATCTCCGGCAATGTAGTTGTCCGGCCAACATTGAAGCTATCCCGCACGCAAGTGCCATGGGAGCGGTACCTTGGGCGTGACGGAATCTCAATTTAGCACAGCTATGACTCTTATCTAACTGTCCAATTTAGCGTCGGAGCGCAGGAACAGTGATCTCCGTCTGTGCACACGCAAATGCCTGGCGCGGAATAAGCACAAGACCTCGTGCGGACGACAACACATTCATACTGCAAGAAGCTCACAGTGGTGACACGCTTAGATACCTGCGACGTAACCCCTTCCAGCATTGAATGCTCTTGCGAGTGTACGTCCGGCTTTGAGTCTGGTCAGTCATGGTAGGACTGGCAGCTGTACCCCGGATGCCAAGTCCATATTGCACAGCTATTGGGCCCAGTCGCGACGGTGTGGCGTAACGAGCCTTGGTATCAGGCTGTGCGGTACGACTTCCGCTAGTTATGCCGTCGCACCTCCACATTCCTCTTTCCCGATCCCGAGCGGCATTTGCCGCTTGCCCTCCGACCAGTTTTGGCAGCACTCTGACCTCCTAAAAAGTACCCGCCCGTGCGACCCACCTCCAGCCACGCGCGGCTGTGCTCCTCGATTTGCTTGCAGCCGCTATACAACGCGTCCATGACCAGGGTGGACGTGACCTCCTTTTCGTTGAAGAATTGCTTCACGACCGCCTGCATTGCAGCACGCGCAATCCATTGCCAATACACGTTTCCGTCTTTCAGAGGTCAGCTGTCACCACGCGCGACGCAACAGCTAAGAGATAAGTGATCTTGTTTCGTTGCACTCAAGCTGCATGGTTTCCCACCGCACCTTGAGGATCACCTCGCCTTTGTCCGTTAAGAACTTGCGTTGCTGCTCGGGCAGTAGGGACCCCCAGAACTGGCGGAACGACGACACCTCCTCGCGCGCCCATGCCAACCGGCTCTTCTTGTCCTCGCAGAAACGCCGGCAGATTCCCTCGACGTTTGCGAGGTACACCCGCACCAATTCCCGCCGGTATTGTGGGTCAAGGCAGCGGAACGGCTTGCTTGGCTTGTCCCTACGGCCATGCACGAAAGCGCCGGTACTAAAGAACCCGTAACCACACCAAGCCTACGCAAGCCAGTGCGCAACCCAACCGCAATCACGCCATAAGCCCATTACTCCTAATGCACAACTTACAGAATGACCTGGACCTGCGCCTTGATCACAAGTGTATCCGCAACAGTGAAGCCATCCAGCACTTTTGATAGCTCCATGAACTTCTTCCACCCCCAGTCATGCTCCTTCTTGCAGAAGCGGTGAAGAGTGTCTGGAGGGCAGGACGCGATCGGGTATGGACTAGGCAGTTCACGCCAGACCCTAGCGTTCGGGCAGTGGCAACCCCCAACAGGAGCCTACCGGAGTACTTGGACTTCTTCGGCTCCTTGTTCACGACGGCTATCGTGAATTGTGCGAAGTGGCTCCAGCCTGCATGACCGCCAGAAATGAAACACGCCGTGAACTTTCAGTTGATTGGGGTCCTGCCGGAGCGCCAACCCATGCTTACCCGGCAGCAGCTTATCGTAGTCCGCGACACAGAGAAATAGCGACAAATGGTTGCACACGTCGCAGCCCTGTGGGTATACAAGGATGTACCTGCGAAAGCAGCGTCCATCGCTTGTCGGAAAAGCCCTAAGCAACGACCAGGGATACCATCTGCTCACCACTTATAGTTCCCCACGTCGAACACGTTACTCCGCAGCTCCCGTTTGCTGATTTCCGAAAAGTTTTCAATCTTCCATGTAAATTTGCCATACAGTTCGTGGGGCTTGGGGCCTGCAAGCAGGCGCCCTTATAGTTTGGCGGGCTTCCCTATCAGCATAGGCATGTTGCTTGCTGAAATCCATTTCGCAGAAACACATAGGAACCCCAGGCGAATGCAACATGCGCACCGTCGTCCTCTTCGTCCAGGAAAGTGGAGGAGGTCTCCGCTACGTCAAGAGCTGAGCGGCTGCGCCATTCCAACATTTCGGGTGTATCGGGGGTGACCGATAGGATACCTGCCGTAAGCACAGCGCCGACAGTCAGGTCACCACTCCGTGCAGACGCCGTTCGCAGGGCAGGCAACCATGCTGACCGTCGGCGACTGGCGGCCCTTTCTCTTTGACATTCGTTCCAGCCGTCAAGGCTTCTCTGATGCGCGATTGGTTGACTTTTGTCATGCTTGCAGAAGTGTTTACGCGCTCATGTGAACAGATCGAGTGAGTATGCGGAAGTGTGAAGGAATGTCCCTCTTCGTGATGCTAGTCCTAACAAGTGAAGCGGATTGAATATTACTCAGATGCCAATGTTGGAGTTGCCTCTAGCGCTCAGCAGTAAATGCCGTACCATATGATTGGTGTGTCATTATCAGGGAACGCGGGGTGTGTATGTGTGCTTACTTCATGCCTTACAAGCAATATGAAATAGCAAGTTACCTACACATACCTGCGTACAATGATCCCCGCGGCAGCCGTCGCACCTCTCGGCCAGAACTGCTGGTGTGCACGCCTATCATGGCCTTGAAAACCCATTTGTTGACCGGCTGCAGTGGCTGGAGGGTAGCAAAACAACACAGCATTTACATCCTGGGCCGGGCATATTGACGTTTATCTATTCTCATACACACATGAGCTTTTGTTCTGGTTCCGGTGCACTGCGGGAGCAAGGAGAGCTCTCCAATCCTTGGGCCCCCTGTGCAGTGGGGCTGCATTAACATGCACTTTAGTTTCGCCATTCCTCGGTGTAACAACTTGCTTAGAGCTTGTGTTCTTACAGTTACCTTCCGTTTCGCGACCACTGCACGAAGGGTGTCCCCCTGTATTTTCCAACTAGCCCTAAAAGTCTGAAGGGAGCAGGCTTTGAACTTGTCGTGGCGGTATAAGATTCGTGCATGCAACACAAGTGTTCCTCTTGCCCGCCATTCTTTTGCTGCCGAGGCCGAGCTGGAGCTGTACAAATCCGAAAACACCTAAGAAAGACCGAAGGGTCGTGCCCACAGCTGGCGTTACAGAGAGCATGCGTGCCCCTGTCCCCGGCGATGAGTGCCCACAGTAGCGGGCTTCCCGGGTGTTCTAACACAGTATGCAGTAAACGGCAACGACCGATTAGGCCCCAATTGCCCACCAGAGCTCCCGCCCGCGACACTCTCCCAGTCCCGCCTATTTTGCTCAACTCCTACAAAGCTTCCCTATGTAGCTTTCAGGCTGCACTCAGCGGCGAGGCTGGCCCTGGGAAGCAGCGTAGGGACCCCCCGTTCGTAACCCGAGGTCTCCAGCGCTGCTGCAATCGATGAAGTTTTTTGCTGCTGCTTCCGCTGCTGCATTCGGTGTAGTCAATGACGGATAATGAAGCGGGAAACATAGCAAGGCCTCCGTCTGCGCCGTTACAAAGTGCTGTAACCAGGTCCATCCATCTAGTCCTTCACCAGGAGCCCCTTCTCCGACACGTAGATGCCGTCCAGGAACTTGCGGATATCCAGGACACGGACACGGCACGACTGGCTGACCAGAGCGGCGGAGCGGGACACGTTCTCCAGGTTGTTGCCGGTCAGGACCAGCTCATCCTTAACGCCATCCGAGCGGGCAATCTTCACACCCTCCAGCATATTGACCACGCGCACACGCTTCTCGCCCAGGAAATTGCGAACCTCCACCTTCTTCCCCTGGTTCTCGATGTTGATGTTGATGGGGAAGTGGGCGTACACCAGGCGCATCTTGTACTCGAAGCCCTTTGTGACACCCGTGAACATGTTCTTCACATGCGAGCAAACAGTGCGAATAGATGCGAGCCGCTTCTTCTTGCCGAAATGGCAGTCAACCTGCAGCACCTTAGCCCCGTCCTGCTCCGTGAGGAACATATCAACAGCCAGGTGCTTGAAGTCGCGCGTCAGGGTGCCACGAGGACCCTGCAAATCCAGCCATGGCAAAACAGGGCCCGCAAAGGGTCAAGCTGCTAGTGCGGAGTGACAAGGACAAGAGCAGATGTCAATGCCGCCTGCCGCCGCCGTACCTTAACGCGGACTGCCCGGCCCTTCACCTCAATGCTAATCCCATCTGGGACCGGCAGGGTCCTGCTAGAGAGCAGCTGCTTCATTTTTCTGCTCCGGCGAAAAAGAGGGGTCACCGATTTGGGACTTTCCCATTAAGTACTGGTGCGCTCTCCTGGAGCGATGCATGGGGACTCCGTCGCTAAACTCATTCCTTCACACCTTAACCATTGCCATAACGCACTTAACTTTTGATAAGCACGAAACTATAAAGTCACTGCCAGACCTCCTTTTAAATTTAGCTCTTCTGCTGCCAATCTCTTGAGAAACTGGACATAGGCAGGTGACCACAGCTAACAACATTCTTTGCGGCCCAGCCGCTGCGCTCGTGGGCATGGCGGACGACGAGCAGCGGGTCAAGGGCGTGCCCCTGACGGGTGTTGTCTTCGATCAGGACCTTTACGGCGGAGCAGATCGTGCAGCTTATCGCAGCGAGCTTGTTGAGGAGGAGGACGATGATCAGGACTTGGGGTAAGCGTTGAAAACGGGACAAGTTATGTTTACGTTGCCATCGCCCGCACTGAGGATGCACTTTCCACGTATTTTGGATCCCGACTCCTCCCCACGCTTTCCTTATTATGCAACAGGAGAAATCGGGCTTTCGGGTCAGCGGCAGCGCAGGGTCACTCGAATATACCGGACGCTGAGGCGGAAGAGGGAGCCGACGGCCTGGGTTTCCAGCAGCCCAAAAGCATTTATGAGCGGGAGGATGATTACCGCAGACGGCGATTAAATCGTATCCTGTCGCCGGAGCGCAACGACGCGTTCGCTATGGGCGACAAGACGCCAGATGCCCGCGTCCGCACATATGCAGACATCATGCGTGAGCAGCAGCTGAACCGGGAGCTGGATAATACCATGGTGAATATTGCGAAGAAGAAGAAGGAGGAGGCGGAGGCGCGCGCGGCGGCAGCGCCAGTGGGGCAGCCTGCGCCGTCAGGGGGAGTGGCTGCGCTATCAGGACCCACGTCTACCTCAATGCCAGCCCCCCCCGTTCCAGCTGCCGAAGGGGCAGCTGGTGCCAAGCGCCGTAACCGTTGGGACCAGGCAGAACCGTAAGTGTCAGAATAATACCCGACAGATATAATCCCTGTGTAGCATGCTAGGACGGACCCATATTGCTCCTATCTTCCCCGGCTGGTGGGTGTGAAAGGTGTGTCGGGGCATCCGGCGACAGGAAATGACTGTGGAGGGGGACTTGTGGCGGCTAATATCGTGGAGTCACACGTGGTTTGAGTGCTGGTCGCAGAAGAGTCACGTGCTGCGGTTGCTCAAGGTGCAACACAAAAATCTCCTATCCGTCAATAACTTCACGCATTGGAAGCACGGGGAAGCATGGCTACGCATGTAATGGAGTGAACCTTTTCTGGGCTGTCGCAGTTACAGAAGCAGCATGTTTCTTGCTTTTAGCCCTCGTGTGAGTGAGCGGTCGACGTGCTTTGGCAGTGTTCAAAATCATGTCGTGACATAGAGCACGCACGGCCCACGAAGCTCAAACATCCTGCGCAGTTGATGAATCATCATCATCATCATCATCATCATTGACCGCCATGATTGCAGGGCCAAAAAGGCGCGATCCGAATGGGATGCAGACGCTACAGAGGCCACGCCTGGGCTGGGGAGCCGCTGGGATGCGACGCCCGGATTGGGCCTGGCGGAAGCAACCCCTGCAGCGAACCGTTGGGATGCAACACCTGGCTTGGGGGCTGGGGACGCAACACCAGCAGCCGGGCGTTGGGACGATACAACGCCGGCGGGGGCCAAGGGGGCAGCGCCCACGCCACGGCGTAATCGCTGGGATGACCCGACGCCAGCACGGGTATGTACGAAGATGCTCTTGGCCTTGGTTATCCTTTGTGAGGGTGGTTTGGCAGGCATTGTGTCGCCAAGTGATTTGGAGTTTGAGATGGCTGCAGCAGGGACGCATCAGGGCCGTTGTTGCGAAGTGTAATTGCACAATTGCATGTGCGGCACGACATTATTGACAGCGCGGATGCGTCTGTCCATGTTGCGGCACATGCAACACTTTAAATACTTAGGACCGAAGGACCCCTACATGGGAAAGAGTATAGCAAGATAATTCGCGAAATCTCTGATGGAGAGTAAGAGCTTGTAATATGGAGCATTTTATTCTCGTTGACATCTTCCGCCTAATCCTCCATCACTTGGCCCTTCCCTGCAACCTCTGCAGCCTGGCGAGACACCCGCTGGCAGCTGGGGCGGGGAGACACCGGCGTTAGCTGGGGCCGCAGCCAAGCGGTCCCGCTGGGACCAGACGCCCGCTTTGGGTGCCGCGACGCCCGCATTCGGCCCCGGCGTGACACCTTCATTCTTCTCCGCCGCCACACCCGCAGTGGGTGCCCCAGGCGCAACGCCGCTTCTGGGCATGGAGACGCCGTCACTGTCCGCGCTGGGCGCCGCGGCGGCTGCTGGCCAGGTGACGCCAGAGGCCTACCAGGAGGCGAGATTGCAGCGGGAGATGTGGGAGCGCAACCGGCCTCTGACAGACGAGGAGCTGGATGCGATGCTGCCGGGCGAGAAGGATGGTTACAAGGTGCTGGCGCCGCCACCGGGGTATAAGCCTGTGATTGATCCGGCGCGGAAGCTGATGGCGACCCCCACACCATTGGTTGGCGGCACACCGCTGTACTCCATGCCAGAGGTGCGTTGCTCAGGTTGGGGAGGAAGATGCAGCATGGGGAGTCGTGCATTTGAGGTGCATTTGATGTATCTTGGGCAATCATGGGCCATTATCGTAAGGATTCGGGTTATTGTCAAAACCCTAAGATGATTGGTCTTCGCTGTCGATACATGTGCGCTTGCGTTTGGGGCCATGTCTTTGGGTTTTGTTCTTTGAACTCCGATACATGTGCTCCTGTTTGCAGGATAACCCAATGCTGAAAGCGGACCTGCCGGTAGCTTTGGAGGGCCTGCCCGAGATGAAGCCGGAGGACATGCACATCTTCAGCAAGTTGCTGCAGGTGGGTGCACTTTGGGGTGTTGTCCAGGGAGCTTCGGACTCCGGGAAGGACTGGATGCGGGCCGGGTGAACAAGCTCAAAGAACTGTGTTATCTATAGATTTGAACGAAGCTTCGGAATCTCAGCAGGTAGAGCTAGGCGTTTTTTAAAGGCATGTGGGGGTGTAGCGCGCTGCCCAAAGCTTGTGGGAAAGGCGTGGCCGCACTTCCCTTCCTCAAACCATAACGTCGCACATGAGGGTTGTCGTACTAGAGGTACCATGCGATGATGGGTGCAATGTCGTATCGGCGTGAAGCCGAGAATCTTGTGATGTGGGTCGGTTTCTCGGGGCGGGGCTCCCCGCCTCTCTATTCCAGAACGTCCCACAAGACACAACGCGATAGCTTCAACCGATTCGCATTCGTGTTGCGTATTCAGGACGTGGATGAGGCGGAGCTGTCCGCGGAGGAGGCTAAGGAGCGCAAGATTATGAAGCTGCTGCTCAAGGTCAAGAACGGGACTCCGCCGCAGCGGAAGAGTGCGCTCAGAACGCTGACGGATAAGGCTCGCGAGCTGGGAGCCGGGCCGCTGTTTAACGCCATCCTGCCGCTGCTAATGCAGCCCACTCTGGAGGACCAGGAGCGCCACTTGCTGGTCAAGGTCATTGACAGGTACGAGCAGACGGCCACCTGGAATATATGGAGTGTAGGAAGAATTCTATAGTATTAGGGCACTACCTGGGATTATTGCGGGATTTAGTCACTCTTTTAGTAAATCAACCATGCAAACGCGCAAAGATTAGTTCAGGAAAAGGGAACGGGAGATACAGTCTGGCGAGCGGACGTCCTTGCGGTAAGGGCACCTGTGCTTCCGTAGCGCAGCCACTTCGAGCGTTGGCCAGTTTCAGGAGGTGGTGGTTTTCGCTGATCTGGTGGATTAGAGTTACTTTCCGAAGTGCTGGAGATTGTTGAATTCTGCGTCAAAGAGTTCAGCTGCTTCATGATGCACCGTATCCGCCTTGTCTCCCTAACTTTTTTGACTACTCTCTTCAGCAGAGGCTTGATGATGACACATGTTGTTGTCCTCCTTGTCGCGCTCAGGATCCTGTACAAGTTGGACGAGCTCGTACGTCCATACGTGCACAAAATCCTGGTGGTCATCGAGCCGCTGCTGATTGATGAGGACTATTATGCACGCGTGGAGGGTCGCGAGATCATTGCCAACCTGTCTAAGGCAGCAGGCCTGGCCCAGATGATTGCCGCTATGCGTCCCGATATTGACAACATCGACGAGTACGTGCGCAACACGACGGCACGTGCATTCAGTGTCGTCGCCTCAGCTCTCGGCATTCCCGCACTGCTGCCCTTCCTCAAGGTAGGCCCATCGACTTGAACGTTTGAGGGCGCGCGAGCTAGCTGTGGATGCAAATCCTTAGAGGGAGAGAGCCCTGTGTCGAAGCTTTCGCAAGGCTGCCGCTTTTACAGCTTACCACAGGGCTGGGGGATGGAAGAAAGGGGTTTGCTGGCGTGAAAGCATCTTTTGGTTCGGCTGTATAGGTAGTTGCTTTCTATATCATGCAATGATGGGCATACGCAGAGCCGGATTATGGCGTGCCGTGGCTCAGTACTTTTTTTCCTCAAACCCCGCCCGCGCCTAGGCCGTATGCTTGAGCAAGAAGAGCTGGCAGGCACGACACACGGGCATCAAGATTGTGCAGCAGGTGCGTCTGCTTATTCGCCCGACAGGGCAGCGAAAGGGAGGTGGGGTCTTGCGAATGGCTCAGTTGAATGGCTCAGTAAACATCCACCACTTCGGCCAGTACGATCCCCATGACTAGTTTGCCCGGGCCCTGGTTGCTCTTCCATTGATGCCTTTGGAGTAGTTTAGTATTTATGTAGCTGATCCTCGGTGCCAGGTATGCCATCCATTTCTGCTCCGTAAATTCCTATATTATCGCACCTCCCGCGCGTTTTTGCTTACCAACTTCCCCAGATTGCCATCCTGATGGGTTGCGCGGTGCTGCCACACCTGCGTTCCATGGTGGACATTGTCAAGCATGGTCTCAAGGTGCGGAATGCGGCGTGCGCTAATGAGCGGGTGTGCCGCGGCTTATTTGGTTGCTTAGTTGCCGTGGAGTCATTGATGTGTTGTCGGGGCATCGCACGCCTAGCTTGTAAATGCAGGTGCACTGTATCACCTGCGGCCCATAGTCCTCTCGAACCTAATATATCCTTTCCTAACTTCCAGGTGCCCTCTCTTTGTACTCACAGGATGAGAACCAGAAGGTCAAGACCATCACAGCGCTGTGCCTGGCGGCGCTGGCGGAGGCATCGACGCCGTACGGTATTGAGTCGTTTGATGACGTACTGGAGCCGCTGTGGCGCGGCATCCGCTCCTTGCGCGGCAAGGTGGGTGAATGCACATCGCACATGAGGTGACGGGTAGGTGGGACAGGGTAGGTTGCCCGCGCATTGCTTGTTCGGTGTTCATTGCTGTGCCAAAGCAAGTTGTATGAATACATTTCCTGTGAAATCTTCCTACGGCCATGTCCCCTGATGCCTGCCTCGAGCATTTCACCAAGTAAGCACGAAATGCCCGCATGCGATTGGGGTGGGGGATATGCAGGTGCTGGCAGCCTTCCTGAAAGCCATCGGCCACATCATCCCGCTTATGGACGCGGAGCACGCGTTCTACTACACGCGCGAGGTTATGGTGGTGCTGCGCCGCGAGTTCAACACGCCGGACGAGGAGATGAAGAAGATTGTGCTGAAGGTGGTCAAACAGTGCGTGGGCACGGAAGGCGTGGAGCCCGACTACATCCGCAACGAAATCCTGCCCGACTTTTTCAAGGTGGGTGCCCTGGGTAAAATAGTTGCGAGGATGGCCGAATGGACGAGCAGACGATTATGCGCCGTCGAGCAAAGCTTCTTGGCTGCGTTTCGCGTTCGGGTGAATTGTATAACTTCACGAATGCTTGTCAACCTTGCTGGATACGGAGTAGCTAGTGCTATGCCATTGCCCGTCCGGCTCAGCGCACGCGCCGCGTGAGACCAGCGTCCTCGTTGTTGGGGAAGAGCCGCCTTCCTCCGTCGCTGAAGCCCTTCGGTTTTGGTTCTCGGGAAAGTCCGGGGTGCTGTTTTCCTGGCCATGCCTTTCATTTTCACCTGCGTAACCGTTTCATTCTTGTTTTTCCATGTCCCCAGGCATTTTGGAATAGGCGAATGGCGCTAGACCGCCGCAACTATAAGGCCCTTGTGGAAACGACGGTTGCGCTGGCCAATAAGGTGCGTTCCCCACGTGGTTTCGATTCCCTTGCATTGGGTCTCGACTGTGTCTGATGCCGCTTTCTTGGCTCCATGCTGCCATGTGGAGCCCTTGGGGGTGGTATCTGGTTCCTGGAGTTCCTAGGGCCCGGAAGGAGCGCATAAAGGGGATTGGTGCAGCCAATGGAAACTTTATTTTTTTTTTGACGGAATGCATCCTGAAGCTCTCAATGTTGGTTGCTCTTTTTATTCGGTGTTTTATCTGGTGTTATAACCACACCCAGGTGGGCTGTTCCGACATCGTGTCGCGGGTGGTGGAAGACCTAAAGGATGAGTCAGAGCCGTACAGGCGTATGGTCATGGAGACTATTGACAAGGTCATTACCGAGTTAGGCGCGGCGGATATTGACGCGCGGCTGGAGGAGCTGCTCATCGACGGCATCCTGTATGCGTTCCAGGAGCAGGTGCGTAGAGCGCGTCATGTTGTCGCCGGGTACAGGCGCGTGGGGCCTGCCTTTGCAGCTGGAGCAGCCTAAGTTGGACATCCTACTGTTTATGTGCCATGGCCCGCCTAACGTCCCTTCCCGGCCTCGGGTGTCTCTGGACCTCCAGGTGGCCGATGATTCGCCAGTTATGCTCAATGGTTTCGGTACGGCAGTCAACGGCCTAGGCAAGCGCGCGCGGCCGTACCTGCCGCAAATTTGCGGTACCATTAAGTGGCGCCTCAACAACAAGAGCGCCAAGATCCGCCAGCAGGCCGCCGACCTCATTGCGCGCATTGCACCCGTCATGAAGCAGTGCGACGAGGAGGGCCTTCTGGGCCATCTAGGTGGGTGGATGCCTTCCGGCTTATGCGCTTGTCCATCAGGTGTTATTGGGAATGAAGACGCATGCATGTTTTCAATCCTTGGTGTAGCCGGCTGACACGTTCGGCAATAGCTGTGGACCGGCTCGCGAACCCAGTTGCCTTCTTGTAATTTTGGATGCCGCGCTCTCTGGTAGGGTCATTGTCGGCGACATGGAGACCTTCGGCTTGCATATGACTTGCCACAGGTAGCCTCTCAAAAAGCCATCAAGCCACCGACATGGGAATTTTTGAAGCCGAATTCTGGCCCGAATGTTTCCCCTTCAGGTGTCGTTCTGTACGAGTACCTTGGTGAGGAATACCCTGAGGTGTTGGGTTCGATCCTTGGCGCTCTCAAGGCCATCGTCAACGTGATCGGTATGACCCGCATGACTCCGCCCATCAAGGAGCTCCTGCCGCGTCTTACGCCTGTCCTTAAGAACCGACATGAGAAGGTGCGTTGGTCTACTGGCGTCGAGACGCTGCTAAATGACCTGGTTTGGATTACCACCGCATGGCACCGGCCGGAGCAGCACGCTTCGCGTGCTCGCTGCTCCGCGTCTTTGGAACATGAATTACGTAGTAATTCAAGTCTGTTCCTGGGACCTGGAGAGCAAAAGTAGACCCGACTGAACTGCGGGAGCCCGGAGAGCAGAGCGAATAAGCCCGGCTCCGGCACTTCGACTGTTGTTTGATTTCTTGCCTGCATTTTTCTGATATTTACTTGTCATCCCCACATGGTTTGTCCATCCCCACAGGTCCAAGAGAACGTGATTGACCTGGTGGGTCGTATCGCTGACCGCGGCCATGAGTACGTGCCCGCCCGCGAGTGGATGCGCATCTGCTTCGAGTTGTTGGACATGCTGAAGGCGCACAAGAAGGCCATCCGCCGCGCCACCGTCAACACGTTTGGCTACATCGCTAAGGCGATCGGCCCGCAGGCGAGTCTGGCTGGGGTGGCCATGGGCAGGAAATAGGAATTTCCCCCTTTTCTTCTCTAGCCACCCGCTTTCTCTCCAGCGCGCGCTTTTTGTTGCTCACCTGCATTATTGTTTCACTTTTCACGCACCACCTGTGATGCTGCTCTGCCCTGACCTTTTACTTTGTATGGGTCCGACCCGATTTGCTCCCATAGGATGTGCTGGTAACGCTGCTGAACAACCTCAAGGTTCAGGAACGCCAGAACCGCGTGTGTACCACAGTGGCCATTGCCATCGTGGCTGAGTCCTGCCAGCCCTTCACAGTGTTGCCTGCGCTCATGAACGAGTACCGCACGCCCGAGCTGAACGTGCAAAATGGAGTGCTCAAGGTACTTTTATGGCGGGATGGGACGGGGCCCTGCCGCACACACGGTTGGAAAGGGAGGGGTGGACGGACGGCATGCACTGCAATGCGATGCGATGCGCATCCCGCCATCCAGGGCTTTTATTGTATAACCTAACTCTGCCCCTGCCCACGCACCCGTAGGCTCTTTCCTTCATGTTTGAGTACATTGGCGAGATGGGTAAGGACTACATCAACGCAGTGACTCCTCTCCTGGAGGACGCTCTGATGGACCGAGACCTGGTGCACCGCCAGACGGCCGCCAGCGTAGTGGGCCATATGTCGCTAGGCGTGGCAGGGCTGGGCTGCGAGGCGCCGCTGGTGCACCTGCTCAATTACGTGTGGCCGAATATTTTTGAAGTATCGCCGCACGTCGTACAGGTGGGTATGGGCGCTGGCATTGCCGAATGGTGACATTTTGAGTGTGTGTTTCTTTCCTCTGTGTGTGTGCAGTTCCCTCGGCTTTGTCTGTTCTAACATCTCCTTTTGCCACCTGCTCCAAGAAACGTGCTACGCTGCGCCTTGCTGGTGCGTGGTTGCAGGCGGTCGGCTTTGCAGTGGACGGCTGCCGTGTGGCGCTGGGTCCCTGCCTGGTGCTGCATTACGTGCTGCAGGGCCTGTGGCACCCCGCACGCAAGGTGCGCCAGGTCTACTGGAAGCTCTACAACAACCTGTACATTGGCGCACAGGATGCACTGGTATCATTCTACCCTGCCCTTGCGGATGAGGAGAGCGGCAGCGCCGGTGGCGGCGGCGGCAGTGGCAACACCTACGCACGGCACGAGCTGGACATGATGATTTAATGATGTCATGAAGTGCATTTGCCGACAGGCTGGCGGTGTGCGGGCTGGGATTTTAAGTAGCCTGGCTGGGAGCCTGCTGCTGATGATGCAGCAGGGCTGCAGGGGCTGCGTATTAGCGCGTTCCCAAAGATGAGGAAAAAACGTGACCTGGCCAGTATTTGGTCGTAAATAGCGGGGTCGCCGGTTTGAGTACGGAGCCTGCGACTTTCGCGGAGATCTCCTGGATCTGGGAAGCAGATGTTTCGTGTACGCAACAGGATGTACATATGTACACACATGCACCGGTGATGTTGCCATCGAGTTGGTTGTTCGCAGCCTGAATGGATGCGAGGTGCATGCGTTCTGACCTGGGCTTGGTGAAATCCCCGTGGAAGATCACTCTTTTAACTGTTATGCGTGCTCTTCTGTCTGTGTCTGTGTCTGTGTCTGTCTCTGTCCCTAAAACCCGAAGTGTGATAATGTTCGTGTGTAGCGCGGCTGTACTTGCTGCCTCGCCGCATTTTGACGGTGAGCTTGTCGATCAGTTCGTTCTACCGTTACTTATGTGGGTGTGGTGACGTTTGTTGTGCGTTGGCAGTTGGACGGCGCTGGCCCTCAAAATTGTGGGCACTTAGGGGTCATTTAGGGGTCATTTGGAACATGTGCTGCTTCACACTTCCGCCACGCTGGGCGTTCGCGGCGTGGGCAAGGATCGGTGGCATGCAGCATCAAGTAAGAGCTGATGAACGGACGCAGGTTGGATTGGATTTTCGCCACGACCCCTTGTGGTTAAGTTGTTTCGGAGGGGCTTCGTGAGTTAAATAGCTAGGTAGCAAGAAAACAGCACAAGGATAGGATCGTCAGGAAATCGGGCGCCGGTTCGCTAAAATGAACGGATGTGAGGTGGGAGAGGGTCGTAGGGCTATGACGGACATGCCCATGGAGCAAGAGGCGACGCTATCCATGCTCGTGTGTTGCGCCTGCAGGGGGTTTTGGTTTTGTTCAGCGATTTTTTGCTAGAGACGCATAGAAGATATGCTGCCCTGACGTAACGATAACGCGCCAGACGGATCTGGAGGCAAAAACATGTTGGTTTGCGGTGCTTATGTGGATGTGCGCGTATACACGTGCTGTAAAGCCTTCCATGTTGATTCTTGCATCGGTTTTGGATACCTCATGAAAATAGGTGGGAGCGGCCGATTATGGCCAGCGCCAAACCCTGAAGGCGTCCTCGACGAAAGGAGTGAAGGAAGCACACAAAACCGTGTCACGCATAAACACGCTTATAGAGCATAATGGCGCATACGAACGTGTGAACCATCTGAAGCAAACTGGCTGTTTCCCTCAAAACCTTTCCCTGCTACAATTTCTGTTGTGGAGCCCCTGGCACGCGAGCGGGTGGGTCCCTCGGATTTCGGTCGGTTGAACCCAGGCTGTTCATTGGGTGGTCAGGTGGCTCAGGAGGAGGGTAGGTGCCTCCTTGCTTCCCCTCCCACCAGTCCTATCGCAGCAGACATCACACAGAAGTGAACGCATATCATGGCTCAATGGCTCTCGGATATTTTCGACGCATCTGACGCAGGTAAACGAAAGGCCCCACCACCTAGTACTAGCCCTTCCAAAGCTGGGGCCAGCGGCCCTCCGAGGCTTTCGCTAGCACCCACTCATACTCCAGGTATGCCGCCGTTATAGCTGCCGATACCCTGTCGTCCCCTGTCCCTGCTCGCACGACACGTGGGTCACATATCCTGCTTTCATCGCCGCTGTCTTCAGGCGTCCCTGCGCCATTCACGCCGCGTGCCTCCTCCTCCTCTTCATTACCGTTAGCAGCATTACCACCGTACCGGTCCCCCGTCTGCGACGGAGACCCTGAGCTCCGGAACCCTTCTTCCTCCTCTAACTTTACCATACCTCGCCCCGTCACGAGCCGCCGCCACGACATCGGCTCGGCTTCGCTACTGCCGCCGACGCCCAGCCATTTTGGTTCGCTGCTACTGCCGCTTCCCTTGGCCCTGATGACCCCGTCCCCGGACGCCGTTTCGAAAGGCGCGTCCAGGCACACTGCGAGGCCCGGAAGCGGCGGTGGCGATGGCGGCCAGGCCGGCACCGTCACCGGGGGCAGCGGCCGTGTCGCCCCCAGCTCCCAGCGGCCTTTGTCCAGCGGCAGATGTTCCCGTCTTTGCTGTAGGCTTGGTTGGCTTGGGAAGGAAGCGGTGGCAGCAGCAGCAATCAGTAGCAGCTGTAGCGGCAGCGGCGTGTAAGGCCGCTCCAGGCGGGATTCCGTCAAGTAGGCGCGGAACAGAGTGGTGTGAAGCGCTGGCCAGCCGGGCAGTGGCTGTAGCAGCAGCGCCTTCGCCAACGCCGTCGCCAGCCTCTGGTCGCGGACACCCCATGGTGGCGACATCACCACCGCCGCTGCTGCTGCGGTGGCCGCCGCGGCCGCCGCTGCATCGCCGAAGGAAGAGGGAAACGACGCAGCGGGACTCCGCTCCCTGGCTGGCCCGAGGCGCCTCCGTGGCACGGCCACGCTCCGAAACCGCCCCTGCCTCACTGGTCCGCCGCCCGCCCCATTTACCTGTGCCGCCGCAATACGATTGCCCGTACCAGAAGCCGCGGCTGCTCCAGCAGCCGTAGCCCACGCTGTTGCAGCTTGTGAGCGGCTGTAGTTACCTGGCTTCCAAACGGCAGTAGCAGCAGCGGGGCCGGTAGCAGCAGCACGCTGCATGGCAGCACGCAGCACCTGTGCGCATACCGCATGGAGTGCTGCCGCGGCACCGCTGGCCGCGGTGGGCAGTCCCGCCGCGGCGCCCTCGAGCAACTCCACGTAATGGTAACGCTGGAGCTCGCCGTCACAGTTTGCCGGGGGCACCGCCGCAGCCGATGTCGTCCTTGTGCCGTACACGGGGTGCGGTACGAGCTGCAGGGCCCCCTCCGGAACCACGTGGTGCCACCAGACGCCCTGGGCGCGCATGCAGGTGGTGGGTTGGCGTTAGAGAAGCGTGGAGGGGGAGTTTTAAAGGGTTGCTAGATGTCACGAGGGGTTGGCTGAGGTTGGTACCATAAAATGTTGAAATGTAAACAGGAGCAGGGGTCGGGGCGGTAAAAAGATTTCTTATGCCGGGTGAACGGGTTAACAGGACGAAGGGCAGCATAGCTGTGCCTCCCTCTCCCCCTTTTATAGTTTAGTTCCCACCTCACCCCACCCCACCCCCCCTACCTGAGTTGGTCCCCGGGTGTGATGTGCCAAGTAATACTCGCACCACCTGCATGTGATGTACGACAAGATGCAGTACGGCCATAAGTGAGCATCATAACATTTAGGTTGGGGTTAGTGCAAGTGATGTGATGGAACACCACAAGACCGGCCGATGTGCGCGTGTGTGTGTCCACCATTCAGAAACTTTAGAACCTGCTCGTCTCGATGCTCTCCCTCTTTCCCTCCCCTCCCCTCTTCCCCCGAATCGGACCCGCCCCGCGGAGGACCCACGGCTCACTGGGTGGGCAGGGGCCCGGTTAGCACCTGGACGGGCCACCCCCGCTCCGCGGATTGCAGCCACTCCAGGGGTTGGGTCGCCGCCGACGGCTGGCTGGGCTGTTGCCCGCTGGGATGCATCCTCATTTGCGGCTGGGGCTGCGGCTGGGGCTGGGGCTGGGGCTGCCCAGGGGGAGAGGGTGACGGCGGTACGGGGCCAAATGGCGGCGGCACTGGTGATAGCGGCAGCGGCAGCGGCAGCGGCGGCACTGTTGGTTGTTTGATCGGGGGCCATTTGTTCATCGTGCGGTGCAGCAGCAACGGCTGGCCCGTGACGGGGTGGGGCTGTGTGAAGCCGACAAGTTGCCAGCCATCGCCGGGAGGAAGCGGCGGTGGCGGAGGTCCCGGCGACGAAGGCAGCGATGCACCGGAAGGCTCTGACGGCTGGGGCGGTTGCTTGTACTCGAGAACGCCCCGGCCCCAGCGGAATGCCCCCCCTGGCGGCGGGAGGACGAAGACGGACACACGGATGCTGCGGGGCGCACTAATTTTCCTTTCGGGCAAAACGGAAAAATCTCAAAAAAGTTCGGGCCCGAATCGGGGTGGAGAATCCCGCTCCGCACGTCCCTGCCACGTCCCAAATGGCCGCCAGGAAATATGCTCGTGGGCCTCTCCTCGGCCAGCTCCCCCTCCCCCGGTCTCCGCATTCCTCCAGCCATCCCAGACGTGGCCACGTGGCGCAAGAAGCTCGTCCCTTCTCCCCTCCTCCAAAACCAAGCAAAGGCCCCTCAGCAAGCAACCCACACCCCAAGCGGTAGTGGACACCCCACCCTCCTACACCCCCATGCAGCTCGCAGCAGCTTAACTAACTGGTGCGTTCTCATGCTAGTGGTTGCTTTTGTGGTGGTTGCTTTTGTGGTGGTTATGGTGGTTAGGGTGGTTACACACCGGGTGGTATCGCCACCTGGCTGTAGCAGTGCGCCTTGCCGGCTGCCGCGAAGGCGATTGCGAATGTGTCCTTGTCGCCGTGCAACAGCCTGTGGTACAGCCGGTCGCCGAAGGAGTTGATCCACCTTTCGTGGGCGGGGGGGAGCGGGAGGAAAGAAGAGGACCGTGAGCAGCGGTGGCTGGAAACCTCCGAGGTGGTAGGAGAGGTGCAGCAAGGATGGATGTGGTGAGAGTGTGGAGTGGTTGGCTGGATGATATGGGGTGGGTGTTGCGCTGTCGTGAGTGAGCACAGCGTTGCACCACACGTAGAGCTTTCTAGCTTTATCCGTACAGGATACGGCGTACACGTTTACAATACAGTTGGTGGTTAGTGGTTAGTGGTTAGTGGTTAGTGGTCACACACACCTAAAGATGGCCCCAGCGGTGGTGTTCATCCATTTATATCGTACTGATGCCGTAATAAAACTCAAAAAAAAGACCAGCACCCGGCCAATTTAGTCACGCCTCTTCCCCGCCGGAACGTGCCCACATGCACCTCGTACACAGCGTACAGTACGGCTGTACGGCATACATACCAAAGGTACTCGAGCACATCAGCATGGGCCGCCCGGTCGATCATCACAGCGCCACTCTCCGCGTCCCGACGATTCCACCAACCAACCTCACGGCCAGCAGCGCTACTGTTGCTGCTGCTTACAACGCTGCTACTGCTGCTTACAACGCTGCTACCGCTGCTGCTGTAGCTGTAAGAGGGGACGAGGAGGTTCAGTGCAATCTGCGCGGAGGAGGAAATAATGCGAACGTTGATGGTGTCGTTACATGACTACATGACCGCATGATCCTTGCGTCTGTACCCATCCAGATCAACTGTGTTTCTGTCCTTCATTAACTTCAACAACAAATCACGTGATCATGGAATTACCCACCGTCCGCAGAACCCCTCACGCTCACCCTCGCTGTCCGGGGATCCAGTCCGAGCTCCCGATACGCCCCCTCCCCCGCCCAGCCTCGCCACGCGTCAGACCAAATCAACATGCCGCCACCACCTCCACCACCTCCTCCTCCTCCTCCTCCAGCCCCAACGTTCTCCGGCTGCCCCGCTCCTGCGCGCTCCACGGCGTTACGGTGGCGGTGGCGGTGGCGACCGCTGCCGCCAACTCCCTCGGGTTGGACCTGGCTGTTGTGGCGGAGCAGGTCGAACATGTCCCGTGGGTCCGCCAGCGGCAGATTGTCGGCGTCCAGCAGCAGCACCCGGCGGAAGCGGCGGGAGGCGAGCAGCGCAAAGACCTTGGCGCCCCAGTGGGTGAGCTCGGGGGGTCTGGACCATGTGCATCCAGAAATCGACAAACATACGGACGGGTCAACTCGGCTAAGAAAGGGTCAACTGGGGGAGCGGGAGGGGGACGAGAGGAAAAGCAGAAAAGGGAGCGCGCGTCGAGCGGGTGGTCATTGCCCGGTAGGAGTTACCTCGGGAGCACGCGGTGCGGCCTTATGGGTTAGCGGTTAGCGGTTAGCGGTTAGGGTGTGAGTACGGTTCCAGTCCAGCCGCGAGTGAGGATTCTTCCTAGGGGCTGTAACGCTCGACGTACCATCCATGTCGTACATGCCGTATTGTCTGATTTAAGTTACATGGAATGGATCCAATACAGGGCCGACATCCCTCGGGTTACACAGAAGTATCGTACACTAAGTCAGAAGACTGTACGGTGAGGTGTGATGGTACGGCGATTCTGCCACATATGCTTTGAGTGTATTTGCCCGGGGGCCCTTCATCCCTGGACTTCCTCCACGTGCGCCACATACCTTGCCGTACCTGCGATGATGTTCCGGGTACGGCACGAGGCTGAGATCCAAGCCGTACACGGGACCCAATCCAGCGTCCCGCAACGCCTGAATGAAGGCTTCCCCACCCACCCCCTGCTGCTGCTGCCGCTGCTGCCAGTGCAGCTGGCCCTCCCCCTCCCCCTCCCCCTCCCCCTCCCCCTCTCCCGTCCCTTGCAATTCCATCTCCTGTGACATTTCCTCAGCCCCAGCCCAGGCCACCTCCACCGGCACGGTGCTGTTCAGGTGGAAACGCAGAACCTTAGAGATGGAGGGAGGGACACAACGGCAGGTACGGCACACCACAAAACACGACACAATGCAACACAACGCATTTTAATAGCACATCGAACACATTGATATTATTTATAAAGGTCACAACAACATACGAACAGGGAAAAAGTGAAATCAAGTAAGGTCAAGACAGTCTCGGTCTCGATCTCGATCTACTATAGAGGTCACGGACCCCGGAAGAAACCCGGGCGGTAGGAGCCGCGCGGTACCACATGCGCCCACAAACCCCGACCCGCCTCGGCGACTTCCTTCCCTATCCCTCCGACCCACCCGCAGCAGCACCAGCACGTTGGTCAGCAGCTGGGGCCCACCCGCACTGATCAGAATTCCCTCCGCAGCACTTCCCTCGAACACATCCCCGCCGCCGGCGCCATGATGATCTTCTTCTTTACCCCCAGCAACCTCCTCCTCCGCCTCCTCCTCGTCCTCCTGTTCAACCTGCCGTCCGTTCAGAGCTCTCAGTTGTCGTACTCGGCGGCGGAAGGCCCGAGAGGCGAGGTAGGTCTGTACGCGGGCTCTTAGTGGGCCGGGCGGAGGGGGGGGGGCAGCACGGAAAGAAGTGCGGGGGACTCGGGCAAAAGAGGAGGAGGGAAGGGGGGAAGGGGGAAAGGAGGGAAGGAGGAAAGGGGGAAGGGGAGGGTGCAACATGCTGCAGGAAAGGTATGCGTGCGGCCGATGCCCTGGCAGTGATTGTGGTGATTGTGGTGATCCTGGTGTGCGATAACGTTGCCGCGACACTTTACTCCGAGGACGGACTGCTCCTACGTGGTGAAAAGCGAGTCGCGTTATGAAGGCGCAGCATATGGCCTTGCTGCGGCAAGGGACCAAGGACCAGAGGCCGGGGGCCTGGGGGCCTGGGAACGAATTCAATTCCAGTACCTTAATGTACGGTTTTGGTTCCTTTATTATTATTATTATTATTTCTAGTTATTGTGGGATAACAATCGTCATATCGATGTTGTACCTGTAGGCAGCCATTTCCGGGTCAGGTACGGCACGAATGTACGGATGCGACTGCGGCTGAGATCCTTCGGCCGAGGGCGGGAAAGGGGTTCCGGAGCCGTTGCTGGCAGTTGGCGCTGCTGCAGCGGGGCCGAGTAGCAATGGCGGCGGGGGGCCGTACAATGGCTCGGAGCAGGACGGCAGCAGCGGCAAACCTGCAACCGTGCAACAGATCGACGGTAGCAGCAGGAACAGCAGCAGCAGCAGCAGCAGCAGCAGCGGCGGCTGCAATCCTTGGTTCTGGACCCTCTTAACAGGTGGGGCAGTTGCACAAGTTACAGAAGAAACGTATTATGTCGTGACAAGCGATGAGCGACGACGGGATTGCCGTTGCCATGGACACGGACTGCAGACTGCTTTAAAGCGGTTTCGCTGCTCTCGATGGAGGTGAAGCGAGATCTCGATAGGGTTTACACGGGAGGCCGCTTCAAAAATGGAAGAGGCTCCTTTTCCTTACGATAGAGCTTTTGAGGCAGGCCAGTAAGGCTAGCACAGCGTCACATATGGACCACAGATACAATCACAGCGAGACAACGCTCGAAAAGTGCGAGGAAATCGCGCGCACAAGCGCCGCCACCATATGCACTTCTGCCCATCTAATAACTCCACGCGCAACATTTCGTTGAGGTTACGATACCCCGGGGGTTGGGTCACCTGTTGCAGTACGATACGGTACGGCACCCGGTACGACAAAGGTGCCCGTTTACCCTCAAAAACGAATTCTTCGCCCTACCGGCGCCCTTCTTTACATAGCCGCGCCTAACCTGGAGTGAACAGCCGCCTGAGAATGGCCCTGGACCTCCTAGCGAGTAGTAGCGAGCAGGTGCCTAATCCACATCTATTCCGTGAATAGAATACCACCACAACAGGGTTGCTTATTCCGATTTGTTTGGGTCGTTCCGACCCTAACAGAAATTCAAACCTCCACTCGCCAACCGCCGCAGTACAACTGAATGTATATAATATTTTACAGTCCAAGGTGGAGCTGTGGACTAAACACGCAACGCTTCTCCCCACACCCCAATCACTCCCAGGGGGAGGGCCCTCAAGCACCCCCAATCACCTGCGAAGCACGCATATCTTTTTATCCTGTCTTATCTCATCTTTGGCCACAAATGCCGTACGAAGCGGCTCTTACCTACTATTTCACCGCACAGACAGCGCATGTACAGCAAGAGTTTTAAAGTAAGGGCTCCGCTAGGCCATGGGCCCCCCTCCTGTACCCTTGACTGCCAATGCCCCACCATCACTGCTGCCGCGCCCGCCGCCGCCGTCACCACTGCCGCCGCTGCCACCAGCCTCCTTCGAAATCGCCTTCTCCGCCGCCTCTCGTCGGCGTCGCCCATCGTCGAAAGAGGAGCCGAGATCAGCCCGGCGGCCACCGCCACCGCCGCCGCCGCTGCTGCCGGTGGCGCCGTCGTTGCCAGCGCCGCTGCCGCAACGGCTGCCGTTGACGACGCAACGGATACCGTTGCCAGTTGTCCCCACCACGTGGCGCCAATCGGGCAGGTTTATAACGGAGACAACAACCATCGCCTGACAATATGGCGAGGGGGAAGGCGCAAGAGGGGCGGCGGCACCTGACCATGGTTACATCATGCGCTGCCCCTCAGGCGTGTCTGGCCGTGCGGCACATACGAACTAACTTAGCCAGGTGTGAGGGAGTTTGTGAAGGAGTTTGTGTAAATGATGGATCATCTCATCATTGACACATTCAAATAGAGCTTTTGATTCACTTCCTGGCCTCGATCCAGAACACGAGAGTCTAGAGCCAGAGCCAGGTTATTACGGCAGGGAATCCGGATCTTAACCTCGTCATCTATTGGTCGACATATGACCCAAATCAGGCGTGGACTGTCTGACTTGTATCATTCATTCAGGGCCAGCGTAGATTAAATCCACGCACCGCACGGCACAGTGTCGTTGACTAGATCATGAATTGAGTTAGCACCAAATGTTGGTTGGTTGGTTGGTTAGGTTGCCACTGAACCACATTGATACCAATCAGACAGGTCAGGCCCGATTTGGGTCGTATGTCGACCCAGACCATTGATGCAACACTCAATTAATGGTGTCATCATCAACAACTATGACACCGTGCCGCGCCCTGCCATCCATGGTGGGACAGACAGTGCGGGATAACACACATGTCCCCCAAATGCAATACCCACACAGTCTAAAAACCTTCCTCCCTTCAATGCAAAGTTAAACGCGCAAAGATTGAAACTCAGCAACATGCAAATTTCCTTTCCTCACGGCACACGAAATCCCACTTTCCCTCCAGCACACAGAATTAAACTCGAAACCAAAAGCCCCGCTTACCACACACGTGGCCATCGCCATGGCGGACAGCGACCGTGCAATCCACAGGCGACGCTGCTGCTGCAGCAGCTGCTGCTGCTGCTGCAGATGCCGTACAGCGACTCCAGGGAACGCGAACGGTGCCCCTGCCGCTGCCGCTGTTACCGAGACTGGAGTGGAGGATGAAAACCGTGTGGACGTGCCCTCGTTACTCCGCAGGTAATCGGCGTATTCGGCGCCAGGAGAGGAGCGGACTGAAGCTCGGGAGGATAGCTGCTGCGGCCACCACCTCCATCCGGTTGTGGCTGGAGATGGTGATGGCGGAAAAGGTGACGTTGATGCTGTTAAAGGGGAGGATGCGTGGGAGAGAGGAGATGTTGACCCGCTTCCAAGGATGTCGCGGTCGCGGTGGTCGCTGCGTGCGGAGCTGCCCACGTTAGTCGCAGGCGCGCGGCAGGAGCCGGTGCCGCCGTCCGCAGCGCAGTGGTGGGAGCTGGTTTCAAACGCTGGAAAACCTGTTATGCTGTGTAACGCAGGCATGTTGTTGCAATAAAGGAGATGCTGCACACCGATAATGCGGTTCGACTACGGCGATCAGCCTGCACAGATGTACCCCTTAACGAAGCTGCGAAGGGTAAGCCTACAAAGGATATAGAGATTAGGAATGTCAAGCTGTATGGCGCTGTTTTAAAACATGGACAGTTGTATAGCATACTGACCCCTGGGCCATTCAAGGCATTATTATGATCCGCCCAGTATTTGTAGTAAAAAGTATGCAGCTTGGATGAAAATGCATCTTGTAGTGCATGTCATTGGCATGGGGCAAAGATTCCAAACTTTGATGCCGTATGCATTTGACATTGCCTTGGACCAGCGCGCTATGCCCTCTAGTATACCTCAAAGAGAAGTCATCTATTTGGATGCCCATGAAATTACTGCAAACCAAGCATGTCCATCCAAGGGTCAATTCGCTTGCAGCCTCGGGCTTGCGTGTCGCCACGGAAAGACGCCCATACCCATTTCATCAAAAAATACTTTCTTTCGGTCAACAATTTGTATCAGCTTCGGCCTTCGTGGCTTGTAAATGCTTGGACGTGCCGCGACAGGGCATGACTGCCGGCCTGAGGCTGGAGCTCACTTATGAAAATGAGCTAGATGACGAGTTTACAGGACTAGCGGTGAGCTTTTTCGAGACCAAGCCTGCATTTCAAACTTTTGTATGCGTGCACCCGTTAGGACAGAGTCAAACTTGCAACATGCGTACGAAGTCCCCTTGGACCCCTTTTCGCAAGGCGCGCGATCCATGTCTTCCAAATGACAAACCAACCATCTTAGCCATCGCTAGCACGTCATCGATTCGATCTTGCCACTTTACTATGTGGCAGGGCGATGACGGACTTATGACGATCGCGGGTTTCGGCAGCCTGCTGTCAGGTACCGCGACGGCAGCTAGGCCGATCTAGGGGCAAGATGGCACTCTCCTGCACGCCCATCCACACGTCCACATCCGCTCAGCCAACTGACCGACCGACTGCTCATCCATCCATGCCCCCCTCCCTCGCGCACAAACACGCACACACACACAGAGCGCAGCGCCCGCTACACCTTCCCCCATCTGGTCAACTTCCGAATTGGACTGGTATGTCAACTGATTTGGGAGGACTTGGGAGGACTTGGAAGGGGTGGGTAGGGAGGGCGCTTAAAGGGAGGGAGCGATACAGCCCTCCTGGAGCTCCGCCCAAATCCCCAACCAAGCCAACACACAACTCACATTTTTAGCGAAATTTTTAAAACTTCTTAAACCCCCCCTTAAAAACGCAAAACCCTCAACATTCAGATTGACCCAAATCCCAACTGAAACCAAATCCCACAAAATTCACTATCAGCCGTACTTGTAGAGTCATCCAGAACGCCCGCTCCTCGCGTACGAAACTGTACGGAAACCTCCCTTTGTAAGTCCTTCCCCTCATGTGAATGAACCCCTAGGTGCCGGGCTGGCGGCGCGTGTTTTCTCACACCGCGGACGTCTTCTTCCTAAGGGGCATTGCCCGACCTGAGACGGTGAGGGGAGGGGAGGGGGCTAGGATGCAGGGCGGGGGCTTACGGGCTACATTCGGCTACCCGGCTGGCGAGTACTACTAACCTCCCTACATATAACCCTAAGTCCATCCCTCGCTTCAGCTTCTCCCCCCTAACCCTAAGGCCCTCAACGACAAGAACCCTTATCTCCCCCTCTTCTCCCACGAATCTACCCGCGCGAATCCTCCCCGGTTGGTCCAGGGGGAGATCTCCAGCCTCTCCCTTGAGCCGTGGCCGTTGGACGATCAACCACCGCAACCACCGTCGTCTTCGAGTGCTACTGCAGCGACATCCGCAACACCCACATCTCAAGCGTTTACCTCAACCCCGGCTGACGCCGACGCCACGTCAGCTCCCCACCCCATCGGACAGTCATCCCACCGACGCGGCGTGGTGGTTTCGTTGTTTGAGGTGCCGTACACTCCTGCCAACGTTGCGGCTTTCATCTCCCGCGAGCACGAGTTCCGGTTCGTGGCGGTGCAGCCCCTGGAGCTGGGCACGGGGCAGCCCCTGGAGCTGGGGACGGGGCAGCCCCTGGAGCTGGGCACGGGGCAGCCCATTGGCAGGAAGGCGGTGAGGAACAGGAAGGGGGAAAGGCTGTGGAGCTACTGCTGCTGCTAGCGATGCCGTTGCTGCTACTGCTACTGTTAGTAATGCTGCTGCTGCGACTGCTGCTGCTGCTAGTAATGCTGCTGCTGCGACTGCTGCTGCTGTTGCTTCTGCGGAAAGAGTGGTCGGTCCACTGGCCAGAATGCGGTGCGGCAACCCCCCCCCCAACCCCCCGGTCCAGGTGGTTTGCGCCGCCAACACGGACTCCGACTACCGCGCCCTCCGCTGCCCCCCAGCCGAGTGGAGCCGCCGCTGGTCCGTCCACGGGTGCACCTCCGTGTGGCGCACTGACGTGCTTCCCTGCAGGGTGTATCTGCGGCACTGTGTATTGGCGGCCAGGTCTCTGGGGGAGGAGGCGGAAGAGAACTTTCTGAGGGCCACGTTCCTGGCGGATAGGTGGGTATTGGGGTTGGGGGAGAGATGGAGTGGGGCGGGTTGCGGTGGGGTGGAGGGAGGGAGGGAAAGGCATTACCTGGGATGGATGTTCGTTTGGAGCTCCCTCTTGCCGTGCATGCAGGCGGGAACCAAGTAGCGTCGTACGTGCGTGCCTTCCGTACATCACGTCCATCAATTCGCGGCTTCCACGCATCCACCCTCGGTAGGCCCGCCTGACTCAGCCCCCCATTCGTTCCTCTCGCCTCGTTAGACGCACGACTGTGGGAGAGTACCTTGCCCTTCATCTGGACATCATGGACGAGTTGCCGCCTCCTGAGCTGGCGGAGCGATACAGCGGCTGAAAATGAGGCGGAGGAGGAGAAGGGGAAATGGGGGAGGAGGAAAGGATGGGGAGAAGGAGGAGAAAGAGAGAGTGGGATATGGACGGGAGTCGTGTAACGTGAAAAGTGATAGTCTTTTGGTTAGTGACCGACTTGATGTTAAAAAGCGCGCGGGGAGTTGTTTGTCGGAGGGAATGGTCGGCGGGAATGTGCCATGGGTTTTAAATCGGGAACAACCCAGATAGCAGGAAACGTGCGCGAAAGAGTGGATGAGCGGACGAATGACTAGGTGGAACAAAAGATAAGGAAGGGCTTCGGATTTCCGGCAGCTCAGGCAGCTACACTAGGGCTAACGCCTTCCAGAAAGCATGGCTTGAAAATGGCATGTGATTAGTAAGAAGCCGTACGTATTGATTACCAACGGAGCCGTACGTACAGGATCGTTGGTGTAACGCTGCCGCCGATGCTCTTGGTCGTCAGGTGTCAAGCTCAGATGGCGGCACATCGTAACGAAGCCAGGTCCAGTTCTAGTTGTCGTAAAGCCAGGACTTTCGGATAGCCCAGCTGTCGGAAATAACAAGTTTCTGACGTTTATGCTAACAAGCGTTCTGACTGATTATGATCTTTAACCAAGAATCCTACGCGAATACCTTTTGAGCTGCTTTGATCAAGCTTGACAACTAGGGCCGGCGGAGGTCATGCCAGGAAAAGCCCACGAGACTTGGCAAACGAAAGTTTGCGCAGGTTTAAAGTGAACAACATAGGTTAAGCTCCCTGGATTGGACGCATGGCGATGGCGTCTACGCGGGGCTGTGAGCGTGTACGTACATCCCCCGTGGGCTACCCCGCCATCGGCGTCCAATCCCAGCCGAGGCGAAGTTCTCATACAGCCCAAACTCGCGGTAGGCTGTGACTTACCCTCTCATGCTAAGAAGGACTCTCAACTCAAATGACTGCCCACTCAATACGGCTACCCGAGGACATGTACCGGTATTCGGTGAACGGAGCCTGTTCCCTTAGCGGAAGGGACCGCCATAACCCCTCTCCCGCGCTCCCGACAAATTTTCATAACTTATTCATGGCGCATACAGGGAATGGTTCAGGAGCTGGCGTTGGCTTAGGCGTCGATCCGTTCGTCCCAACGACCAAGATGGCGGCAGCAACAGCGGCAGTTGCAGCGGTGAGCCTCGCGGTGCCACGACTGTCACGGCCGTCAAGACCACAGTTGCTGCTGTTGGCGCCAACGGCGCCAGCGGTGACTGGATTGCGGGGACCGACGACAGGTCCTGTCGTCGTCACGGCCACCGCCACCGCAGGCGCCACCGCTGACGTCAGCGATTTGAGGGCGGACTCGGATGTTGAGCTCGTTGCGCGGATGGCGATGCAGCAAATGGGCAGAGAGTACGGCAGCAAGCAAGCGGAGCTGGTATGTGAGGAAATGCGGTACCACCTCCAAACATGCATTCCTCCATTCTATCATCCATATATAGATTGCAGCCATTAATCCAACCATTTCCGTAGTTTGATGAATAAAGGGGTGTGTGTGCTGTCCGACAAGCTTCATTTTCATTTGGGTCCAAAAATTGGGTCATTTGGAAGTTGCGGTCCCCCGGGGCCGTCCCCCTGTTTCACATACGCACACTCTTAAGTTTACGTGCGGGTGTGCGTGTATCCTTCCTTGCACATTCACGGGAAGTACGAGAATGTTTTACTCTGTGTATTACCACAGCGACGAAGAAGCCCTCCCTCCCTCCCTGCGCATCCGCCACGGCCGATGCACGTACCACGTGCCGGCGTCCTCGCCAGGTTGAGAAGCTGCGGGACGAGATGTACGACACTGCGGCGGCGTTTGCGGAGCTCCGTGAGGTGCGAGCGCGTGATAGTGTGCGTGATGGCGCACGACGCGACACCAATAATGATTAGGTAGGAAAAGCAAAGGAGGAGGAGCCAGGAAGAAGAAGAAGAGGAGGAGGAAGGAGGAAGAAGAAGAGGAGGAGGAAGAAGAAGAAGAAGAAGAAGAACGGTGCACGACACAGGGAGTGCGAAGGCAGCAGCTGTAGGACAGCCATCAAGTTCATGTCGTACTGCTGCCCACGTGTACGGAAATGCACGATGTCACACCCCGAAGTCGCACCACGCAGTCGCACGCTCCTCCAGTTGATCCATTTTTTTCATCTTTCGCACCTGACCGTGATACCACAGTGATTTCCACCCGCTGCGCAGGGAGTCTGTTCTCTGCAACCCAAGTGGCGTGCCACTCTCTTTGCACCCCCCCGGTCACCTTTCCATAACTTCCCCCCCTCCATTCCCCCCCTCCATGATCGTCACCCCGAACCCCGGCATGTGCTAGAGCTTGCTGCCGGAGCTGGCGCAGCAATGGAAGGCCCCGCACCGACTACTGGCTACCATGCACCGAATTGCCGTGGACGCGATGACCGCCGCCGCCGCCGCCGCCGCTAGTAGCGGCGCAGTAGCGGTGGGAGCGGCGGCGGGAGCGGCGGCGGGAGCGGCGGCGACTGAAACGACAGCTGCGCCACCTTCACCGCCTCTCATCTCCTCTAAACCTTTGGTCACAGCAGCCGCAGCCGCTGCCGCAATGCCTCTGCCGGGGCAGCGGCCGCCTGAGCCGCCTCTGCCGCTGCCGTCTGCGGCTGCAATTGAGGGAGGAGGGGAGACGGCAGGAAGGGAGCGCAGGCGGCCTTCGCTGTTGGATCCGTACGACACTGGTGAAGTAGAGGTCTGGAGTGATGAGGCCCATTTGGATCGACAAGAGGGCGCTGCCTTGGCCCTCCGTTACAAGGGGAAGGAGGAGGAAGGACAAGACAATGTAGGAGGCAACGACGAGGATGATGATGATGATGACGAGGAGGAGGAGGATGGTATGGATGTAGGTGTGAAAGGGCGAGATGGTGGCGGTACGGCAAAAGGGGAGGCAGGCCGCCGCAGCCGGCGTTTTCCTCATCGGGCGCAGGCGGCTCCGCAGTACTCTGGGCGCGGAGGAGGAGGAGGAGGAGGAGAGGAAGGAGGCGGCAACGTGGACTACGACGACGAGAAGAAGAGGGACGAAGATGAGGGTGAAGATGAAGGCAACGACAACGGGATGGCTGACGCGGAAGAGGAGGAGGAGGAGGAGGGCAGAGGCAGCAGCGAGGTTGGAGGTGGCGGTGTTGTAGATGTTATGGGGCGGAGGAGGAATGGAGGCGGGCGGCAGCAGCAGCAGCAGCAGCAGCCTGAGCAGGCGGAGGAGGTGGAGGAGGTGGACATCCGGGCTTTGAGCATCATGGAGCGACGCTGCCCCAGTAAGGTGTGTTGGGGGATG